ACTCTGTCTCTGGTGAATCCTCTCACCCTCCGCATCTCTGGCCTGTACCCCAGTTCTGTATGAATAAATAAATAAATATTTAAAAAAAAAAAAAAGGTGAAATGAAGAATGAGTCACACATTTCTCCTTGCCCTCATTGGCATTTCTCTCATAGATGCTCAGATTTATGTCAGTTTTTAAGTGTTGGTTTACAGTTTGTCTTTGATGGACCCTTTGTTTTTATTTCTCTATAATCCACATATAAGTGATACCATCCAGTATTTATCTTTCTCTCTCTGGCTTATTTCACCTAGCATGCTTCCTTCCAGTCCCATCCATGCCTCAGAAGACATTTAGCATTTCTGATGACTGAGTTGTATCCCATTGCTTCTATATACCATATCTCAATCTGCTCATTTTGCGACAGCATTTTCACTACAAGTAATGGACAAAACAATATATGGGAGTAATGTCTGTTCTGACCTAGTCATATTTCCCTTTTTCTTTGTTGTTTGAGTTTTCTAAAAATGAGAAAAGACTTGCAGTTGTTAAAAACTCACCCAGGGCCCTCGCTGATGGTGCAACAGGTTAGGATGCAGCACTGCAAGTGAGCAGGAGCCGCTTCAGTGCAAGTTCGATCCCCGCTCCAGAGGTGACCCACATGGCGTGGCAGACCTCTCCTGACCCATCTGCTGCTCCCCTCAGCAGTGTACTTGGTCAGTCGGCCTGTTCTGCTCCCCAATCTGTCTCTGGTGAATCCTTTCACCACCCCTGTACCCCTGGCTTGTACCCCACTTCTGTATGCATAAATAAACAAATGTTTGTTTTTTTTTTTTTAAATGCAGCCAGCCTAAACTGGGCAGAGCAGGAATTTGGTACAGGTCTGTTGTAATCCAAAGCCTACAGGCTGGACCGCACTAAGCCAAATTCTGTGCCTTTGCACATATTCTGTGACTGTGCAGATAGCTGTTTCTTTTCACAGAAGCAATAACATCTGGGTGGGTATTATCACAATAAAAAAACCTGATTTCCCCAAAGGGCAGAAAAATGGCTCATGGTAGAAAGTGGGAGCATATAGAAAACACCTTCAAACAACATCTCCTGTACAGCGCTATGAGACATCCTTCTTGCTGCTGTCACATAGAATTTATGTTTTCACATTTCTGTCCAATATCATATGGGCTACAGTAAGGACACGTAGAACTGTCCCAGAAAATCCGAAAGGACAGTTGCCATAGCTACACACCACCATGGAAAGCCACAGAGCGGCTGTCAGGCTCTCTGAGCTCAGGACTGCACTAAATCTCGAGGGGGTGGGTGTGTCAGGGCGGAGCTTTAGGGCTTATCTTCCAAACCGAGGCCCCTCGCCATCCACATGCAGCGCCCCTGTTCTACTACCACCATCCACTCACCTGGACATAGTCCTGCCTCCCACAGAAGTATCTGAATGCCCGAAAAAGTGGGGGAAGGATTGCTATAAAACAATATAAACAATAAAATACCCACATACACAAAAGGAAAAGACTAGGAAGAAATATGCCAGACTATTAGCAAATTAATATGAACATGCCCATGTGTATATATTCTTATTTAACCCTCACAACGGCTGCTTGAGGACGCAGTATAGCCTTGGATGAGAAGCCCAAGGCTCGCTGAGGTTGCATGAAGCCAAGATTCACAGCCAGGTGTGCATGGCTGAAGCCATCTACCAACGTTCTGCGAGACTGTGGTTAGATCCCTTAGTGAGTGGAGTTCTGTTTTTTGTTTGAAGGTGTTTTCTATATGCTCCCACTTTCTACCATGAGCCATCTTTCATCACTTTTCTGCTGAAGGGGAAAAGTGCAGGTGAATGTCTTTTTCAAGGGCAAATGAATCTGGGACTGGGGCCGAGGCAGTCCACCTTGCTGCGTTAGCCTGGGCTTGCTTGTCATAATAAAAAGTGATAGAAGACATCAGGCAATGGCCCCCAACCTTTCCCTCAAACCCCACGTCACTGCTTAGATGGCTGTTGGAGAAATATCAGCAGATTCAATTCTGTAAGTGTAGCGGGCTTCTTAGTCTAGACCAATTAATAATGGTTAGACTAGTTCTGGGAGGCCTTGAGCCAATTATAACAGCCCTGAACTAGGATTTGACTCTCAGGTCCCAACAGGAAAAAAGATATGGCCTTTCTTGGAAGGCACACAACATCTACCTGAGATTTTTGGGCCCAGGGAGCAGCGGAAGCTAGGGCCTGTGATGACCCAGATGAGGAGTCCCACTGTATTGTTTCTGCTGCATCTGTGGGCTGAGGCAGGCAGGAGTGTTCCCAAAGCAAGGGGAGGAAAAATTCCTTCTGCCTATTCATGAGAATGACTCTGTTTCAAAACCACGCCCAGCCCAGGGCTCCACTCGCTGAAGGGAAGGGGCACTCTTTAACTATGCCGGCTGGATAGACTTTGGGCTCGGTGACAGCAGAGTTGTTCAGCCTACGACTCATTCTCTGCATGGTCAAGAGACAGTTTTAGGAGGTAATAATGGAGGATAATAATAGAGAAACTAGAAAGGAGACAGCATAAGGCCAGGAACCTGTCTCACACAGGAGGTGGGGGCAGAAGGAATTAACGCAACCATTAATCTGGCTATAGAAACTAAGACTCTTTGGTGCCAATGCCTACATCACCAGGCACAAGACCCAAGAAGGATCAGACAGCTCTAGAGAGTGTCAGGAGCACAGACCTGATAGTGGGGATTAAGGCATAAACCATCCACCTGCAAAGGTGAGCCCCTCCCTATGGAGAAGATAGAGCCTAACTCCGCAGTCCTGCTGCCCAGCTGTGACTCCTCAGGTGCGTCTTTCCGCCAGCTCTCTCCCTCTGCAGGCACAGCCTGGATCCCACCCGTGACCTGCGCCACGCAGTGCTTCTCACTGACCACCCCCCCCCCC